ACCGGAAGAGACGGAAGAGAAGAAGAGACTTCAACGGACACTAGCGCCCCGACGCGCCAGTATCTGAAGTACAATATCTGTTAAATGCAAAGCAAGATATATAGCCTAGAATTTGGAGACTTCTATCATATCAACTCTAGACGTATCTGTAGGAACTTTCTGGAACACATGAGGCCGAAATTGTTGTTCGTGTTCGTTGTGTCAGATGTGAGGCGAGAGGAAATGTGTTTGTGGAAACGAAGGGATCGGGACGGGATCTACAGAGTACAGAGTACAGAGTACAGACAGACAGACCCTCTGCCTGCGGTGAAACCGGAGCTCCAGGAGTGGAGTGGGGGTCGCGGCGTCGCCCGCCCCCAACAACTCACAAGCCATAGTGCTTACCCGATGTTCTAGACCCGGATTGCAACCAAGCTTGTCACTGCCACCGGGACTAGTTAGTTAATGCGCTCCAATCCACTCTGCATTAATCCGTTTCTCTTCCTCCCCCCCTCTCTCCGATTGTTTATCTTTTCTCAAGGACCCTGCTGAGTTGGACATCTGCTCATTACGCGTGCATTTGTTTCCCTGGGCCCCAGTTACTCCAGTCCAGTTCTAAAGTTCTGAAACATTGCTTGTTTCCGGACCCCCCCCCTCAGAAGAAAACCATGCACGTTTGAAGCCTTTGCTTATCTCCACCACCTGTTTCCCTTCGAGGGACCGGTTCCTCTGGGGCGAATCTCCCACTGGACCATTCTTTGGATTCTGCAATAGAAATAATGACGGCCTCTCCATGTGGTCCGTTACGACTCCTGCTCCATCGCACATGGACTCTGTTGGTCATCTGCTGCATTCTCCTGGTGCTTCTTTTACTGGTCGTGATGGGAGATGAAGCTCTCGCAATCTCGTGTTGGTGACCCATCCCTAGGATTTTACACTCTGAAAGTCTCTACTAACAGCAAGCAGACCGGCACCCGACAGTGAATCCGGACAAAACTTTGGCTTTGGTTGTGGCAAAGTCTCGAAGAGAGGATACCTCTTGGGCTTATCGGGTCATGCCCCAGTAAGCATACGCCGTGTTCATGGACAGATGGTTACGAACAGAAAGCAGGCCCACTCACTAATGTCTTGAATAGCTGGAGGCCATACATCTATACTTCCGACCAAGAACCCGGGTTCGCCGATCTCCCCGCGAATAAGGGCCGCGAGAGTATGGCCTACTTGACGCACATTATCGATAACTACGATGATTTGGCCGATATCACCGTGTTCATGCACGGTGGTGATAGCCAGTGGCATAATGATGTCAAGGACCTGGATTCGCCATCATTGCTCCGCAGCCTCAATCTTCGCACGGTGGAGCGGCTAGGATACGCTAATTTGCGCTGCCATCATCGCCCGGGCTGTCCGGTGGCCGTGCGGCCGTTTGACCCTGACATGGCTTCCGACCATAACATTGTGTACCGCAACTTTACCAGCATCTATGTAGACCTATTCCGAGTGCCTTTGGACCAGATTCCCACGGAAATCGGAGGCGTTTGCTGCGGTCAATTTGCGGTCACACGCGAGCGCATACGGGGCCGACCGAAAGAAGATTACATGCGGATGCGCGACTGGGCTATTACTACGGAACTGGACAACTTTGCGGTCGGATCAGTCTTTGAAATGCTGTGGCATATTGTTTTTCTAGAAGCACCAGTTGCGTACGTGCTATGTCCCTGGCTGGTTGGCCGGAAAGGGAGTGCTAACAGTGTCTCGATTTGACAGTTGTCCAGATACCCAGCAGTGCTACTGTGAACTGTATGACCTATGCAACGAAGAGCCCGATAACTCCTGAGTGATCTTCTCCGGGTTTTCGAAGGAGACATCAATCCAAGCGTCGTGATGGCTCTCGGGCCACAGCGTCTCCTTTATGGCCATTTCTTCGGGGAATTACCGAAAGAGGCAACCGTCTCCGGGAGGGATTCAGCGCCGAAATTCTAGCCTTGCACCTACACCCAATGACAACCACACATCGACATCAGAAGCAAAGCGGACATGCAGCCTTCGTTCCTGGATCCAGGACAATGAGCTTGGCATATTCTGACCCGGAAAGTATAAGAACCACCACCTACACGGCTCGAACCGCATCCGCTGTCATGTTTGCGGCCCGATCCCGCAATCATGGCGCTGCCAGAGGCGCAAATTAGTCTAGATGAGTTCCCTCGTTCTGACTCCCACCGTCTACAAGTCGGACAGAGCGAAGATCAGCGCCTTCTTCCCAACAGTGGAGAAGACACGCCATCTCGACCCAGCTCCATTAGTACAGTACATAGGCCCTCGTCCCGTCAGAGTCTTCATTGCAACCGAGCGGGTGATCGCGATGGCAACCCCAGCAGCGGGGCTGAATCTTCTCAGACCAACAAATTAGCTACCACCGAGCCGGCCTCGTCACCACTACTTAAGAAGAGAAAGGGTTGGCGCTGGAGGCATCTTTTTGTAAATCCAGGGACGGACGAAGCGTATGAACTCCATGATAATGGCGCCACGCTGACGCGCATTGTATTCCTTCGGCTCTTGGCCCTTGCCATACTTATAACGTGAGCTACCGAACGCTCTGTGCATTCAATCTGCATACTATCACTAATCACTGAGATCAAAAGAGCAATCGTTCTCGGCGCCATTGGGAAGAGCTATGATATCGCATCTCTTACGGTCGGAAATGGTATCCTTGTTGATGAAGATGCCCAGCTTGCCGTCATTGGCGTGATCAACAGTATCCTGCAGCTTCTCACACAAGGGGCTCTCCAGCACATCTTCACTACATTGATCACCCGATGGATGACTGACAAGGGGCAGAAGGGAGCCAGCCTGTTGGACTTTGAGCTGTACGAAGAACACCAGAGTCCCTTGACTGCCATTTCGACGTTCAAAGAGCGATGCGAACTTGGAGTGCGCAAGCATATCGCATGGCTACGACTTGGCGGGGCACTGGCAGTAGGGATCTGTCTCTTTCTGCTCGGGGCAGCTATGAACACTATTGCCATTCCCAAATCCCGTTGGTGGCCAGACACGCGTTACGTGGTGCCCGATCCTCCGGATGATCGATTCTATTTTACGAACCAGACGTCCCAGATAGCTAGTGTCAGTCGAATGTCGCTGTGGGGCAAAGCCTGGGATATGGTGCGCATCGGAGGACCTGTTTCTTGGGAGATGGTACGATTCGAGTTCTTGGTGCATGTCACCTGTCAGAATGATGCTTACAGGTCTGTCTCCTCCAGGCACACTCGCTAGCAGCATACCATTCCCTCCAAGCCCTGGGCCTTCTTTACGACACCTTCAACAACGCGCCCGGTTGGCGCTCTCTTGGCGATAATGACGTACCTGCATTTAGCGCAATGCGAATCCCTGAGTCCTCTGCGGTTATCCAATCGATGGCCGTGCATGGCGATCTCGCCATCCAGATGTACGAGGCGCAGAAAGCACACAGCAAGCACAGCTGGGCACGTTACTCCATCGGATGGAATGCGCTTCTCCTCATTCCCGGTGTCCTCCTTACCACCTCCTGTACCGACCACACGAATTCCAGCAGCAGCAGCAGCAGCAACAGCAGCAGCGCAGGGGCCTGGGAAGCCACCTCCATCAACGCAACCATCACCCTCGTCATCGGCCCCGTCAGCAACAACACCAGCAATAACAGCACCGACGCTTTCTTCCCTGGTGCCACCTGCCAGATCCAGGTCCAACAAGCCCAAATTCCGCTAGGTCAATGGCTGTACTCCGGCACCAGCAACTACGCCTACGCCATCGACTACGGCGACAACAACCCCAACCCCGCCCTCACCCTCCTTCCCAAGAACAGCACGTCTCAGGCCGACGCCTCCATCGCCGCCGAAACCACCAGCTGGTTCACGGCGATCCTCCCCAACCTCCAATCCTTCACGTCCGACCCTGCCCTCCTCAACCTCACCTCGCTAGCGCTCACGCTGGCCGATGACCTCGTCAGTCTAAATCGGGGATATACGCGCCTGGACGGGGTTGCAGCTATCGTGGCCACGGTTCTCACGGACATGATCACCTCGTTCGACTGGACATATTCCGCTGTACTGCAGGGGGCGAGTTCCGATGGGGTCAGTGGCAGCAATAGTACGGTGCAGACGACCCTGCAGGGACCCGTGCGGTGGCAGTTGTATGGGTCTGGGCCGCGGCTGCCGTGGGAATGGACTATCGCCATCGTGCTGGCGGTGGCGGTGGGAGTGCATGTGGTGGACCTGGGGGTGGTGGTATGGTCGCGGGGTTTGCGGGAGGGGTTCTGGTTGAGTGTCGATGGGATGATGGCTGTTGCGGGTGGGTCGAGGAGGGCCCCTACTCCTTGTGCCTCGGCTTCCGCTGGCGATGCGGGTGTGGCGAGGGAGGGGCCAACGGAAACGAGGTTCATTGTTCGAGAAGAGCAGCCAGACGCATTAGAGGGACAGGAGGGCGAGGGCGAGGAGGGGAAGGTGGTGCTGCTGAAGGCTGGGGAGGATGACGATGGAAATCGGTATGCGGTCTTGCGACGGGGGAGGAAGTATAGAGGTGTCGGATAGGGATCTCTGTCTCTTTCATTTCATTATGCCAGGTCTCGGATTGTGCGTGCAAGCTACATGATGTTCTATAGATCAAGCTTATAGGCGCGGCTGATTGTTAGAACTGTTAGAATCTCGATAAGAGTTAGATATACGAGCAACTCGACCCCATGGATGCGAAGCATGCCTAAGCATAGTTTAGCTCTACCTCTTTGGAGGTAGAGCATCCTCGCAATTCTCTCCTTCCTGAAAAGAAGTAACACACTGAATATCAAAAGGAAGATTAAAAACTTGGGGGAAAAGGAAGATTAAGTTAATTACTATGACTATAAACGTGGTAGCGAGAAAGGTAAACACAACAACAAACGACGACCCTAACCCCCTCATTAACATCGTCAGCATCATCATTCGATCCATTACCACATTACCACCAACCAACCAACAACCAACAAACATAAAAGTGAAGTCATCATGCAACCTCCTCCCCCAACCACAAGGATATTAAGTAGCAAGTCACAGCGGGTGGTTCCCGCCGGTAGAGCATGGTATCATCAGAGGGATTCGAGAGGAATTCGAGAAAGCCAACCCCGCAACAAATCATCAGCGGCCTACTTCAGCAGAACCGACGATAGATGTCTCAGATCAGCACATTAGACTGTCCAGTCTCGTTCAATTCCATCCAAATCCGGTTCGGCGCCGTTCAAGTCCATACAACATTCAACCCAAGTGATGTGGGAGGGAGGCCCTAAGCCGACGCAGCCAGCGGCGCATCGGCCGGCCCGCCGTGGGCGCCGCCCGTGTTCTTCTCGCGGACGGGGGCGGCGTTCTCGCGGCGGTAGGCCCAAAGGGCGCCGACTTCGAGGAAGATGGCGAAGAAGGTGAAGATACTTTTTGTGCAGGGTTAGTATTTGTTTGTCTTTTACTCAGGGGGTAGATGCCTGAGGGCTGCAATGGGGCACATGCAACGTACAACGTGAGGAAGATGAAGGCCTCGTTGGCTTTCTTCAGGGCGCAGGAGACGCCCGGGGGCGCGTTGGCGCCGCAGTTGTGCCAGTTGTAGTCTTGGGCGGCGAAGATGAAGGAGGTGAGCCATCTGTTTTCCGGAGTTAGTGAGCTGGTTTGGTGGGTTTTGCTGCTGCGGTGTTAAGGGTTGGGGGAAGGGGAAGGGGTAGGGGTAGGGGTAGGGACAGGGGCAGGGGAACCGTACAGGTAGGAGAAGATCACGTCAATCGCGAGGACGAACTTGCTGAGGGCGTGGGGCATGAACGGCGAGACGAAGGCCGGGAGGAAGAAGACGACTGAGATGGTGGACTATCCAAGACGAAGGGGTGGTTAGTTGGATTCGTTGTTGGATGTACAGACCCGAGGAAGATGAACGTACAATAACTTCATCGTAGATGATGTGCTGCCCACGCGGACCCCGGTGGATGAAGTAGGAGGTGATGCCCATCACGATGACTGCGCTGGCCCATTGCATGAACCGGGTGAGCAGCTGCAGGGGACGAGCCACGGTGGTGGAGAGCAACATCTTCGATGTTTTGTATTATCTGACTGCAAGTGAGAAAGAGATGAACCTGGGGAGATCGAGGACGGGGCAGGGGTTGCTATAAGTTCGGTGGAAAATGATAGTTGAGAAGGAAGGAAGCGCGCGATAGGGCAAGGCCTTGAGTGGTGGCGTTTGATTCTTTCTGATTTGAACTGGTTACAAAGTGGTCCTGGATGGCATCAGATGTGCGACCAGGACAGGATGTTTTATATCCAAGAAGAGGAGGGGGGAAATGCGCATGGTCTATCCCTCTTCGAACCCAAGTCAACATCCAAGCGTAGCATTTACGTCAGAGGTCCCTCTACGGTGTGAAATGGTTGATTGCTTTGCTTTTTTTCTTCCCTCTTCATTCGTGGTTTGGCACAGTTTCCATTTTCTTCTGGTTCTGGCCCCAATGACCAGATGCAGTGCCGAGAGAACCGTGTGTGAAGGTTCGATGGTGGGAGGGAGATAGACAAAGTGCTGGCTCCCCCAGATGCGTCATAGTTTTCTCTGCTTGAAGTAAGTTAATTCCGAACTGGGTCCCGGCTTGGGGGGATTGGGTGATGTTTTCCCTTCCATGAGGAAAAGGTTTTTGTAGTTGGCGCTAGTTGCAGCTAATAGCTAGCTAGTCAGTTGGTTCACTGGTTGATTAACCCAATTCTTGTCCAGTGCCCTTGTTCGTCTTCTGCCCAACAACAAGCATTGATGGACAGGGAGGGGGAAGACCATCACAGCTCAGCTTCGCAGGGGTCCGAAGCGGGAACGCTTGGCAGTGGGCGATTGGGATCACATCACTGATCGGCACGAGACATGGACTGATGGGGGGGAAGTGTGGTGCAAGGGAGGTTGCGTGATGACTGAATGATGAAGAAGTGTCGAGTATGACTTTCCTCTATAGTTGCTTCAATATCGGTTACCAAATGGCCTGTCATCAGGGCTTGGCGCCCGGCATCCGGTACCGATGGTAATCTTACCGTCATGGTCACCGTCATGGTCTGGCCGCTCTTTCCGCCCTGCCCAGACTTGTTGTACGGCTCTGCATAGATTTCTCCTTCGCTGATACTCCAAGAGAATGCAATAGAATTGATAGTGAAAAACGACTGGAGAGGTTTGTAGCAGCAAGAACAACAACAACAGCAACAACCGACAGAACAGCAACCACCACCAAAAACCAGGAACCAGTGGCCGAACCACGCCACGTCCATCGTGCAACCCGCGGATGACCAGGAAGGTAACCTTCAAAGGTTTCCAAGGTTTCCAGTTGTTTTCCTTACCCTCCTCTGTCGACCCAGTATACCTGCCTATCGAAGCTTCGAGCTTAGCCGACCGGCGCTGCAGATCCTGCCGGATGCCTCCGGCAGCAACCAGAATGATTTCATTCTTTACTATGAGTAAATTGATCAACTGACTGATGAAAGATATTCAAGACCCACAAGGCTGATAAGGAACTTTTTTTCCTTTCACTTTCACGCTCATTTATCGGACCTGAACATGACCCACTTCCTCACCTTCTACAAAGTAAGATCAATAATCCACTGCAGAGATACTATGTACTTACTGTATGTACAGTAGGCTCTGGATTCTACACCGACCAGCCGACCAGCCGACCAGCCGATCAACCGACTCATGGATGTATGTATGTACTGTACAATAGAATCGCATACCCATAACCGTATCACATCATCTCTACCCTCCAACTCGACACTCACATCCACACCAAGGCATACAGTCAAATGACAATACCGAAGACACTACACCGTAGTACAAACCCATCATGGTTACCTACCAAGCCCCAAAAACCTACCTCATGGAACCTCGTGACTACCTCCAATAGTCAACTAATTTTTCGCTGCTGGTCTGTCTCGATTTGTAACATACCAGCCAACGAAACCCCCTCTTGTGTCCCATCCTGTGCTCGGATAGAAAAGCACTAAACAGAACCAATTGTAGCCCGCAAACCAAAAGAACCACGCCGGTTTTTGTTCCGAGGATCGTCCACACTTTGTCTTTGGTTCCCCCTCCCCCTTACATTTTTGGAGATCTGGGGAGGATCTGCTGGTGCTGGTGCTGGTGCTGTTGGTGGTAGGTGTGGAGGGGGGGCGGGGTTTGTGTTACGGTACAGTACATACTTGATTGTCCTTGGACAATTGGGACAATGGGGGATGAAAGTCTAACTATACCATACTTCACAATAGAAGAGCTATTGAACTCTCGCGCCCGGGCGTTGCTCTTGCAGAGTCTCAATTTCCTGGGATCTCAGATTGCTCCCAAGATTAGAGTGATGAATGTTTTCATTGGATAGGTGGATAGACAAAATTCTTGATCAACTTTAGCAAAAGCCTTTGGGTACTACATAGTATAGAAGAAGAGGTCATCTCTTGGCGCGAGGCTGATCGACCCGTGCCCACTACCCCCTCCACATACACCTATGGAGGACAAGTCCGCCGGGAAAAAAAATGAACAGACTTCAATATTCTAAAGGTTGAAAAGCTAGTTTCAATGAACAACAAGAGCCCCTCTTCTTCCAGCACAAGCACATTCACACAGCAAAAATTCAAAAATAGGTTCTTCCTATTGGTTCAAGTTAGGTATTGGTTTTTGTCCCGACCCTCCCACCCAAATTGAACTCGCTTGGACGCCGGACGCCTTGTTGTATCCTAGCTAGCTGGAAATCATCAACCCCACCACGTGCCTGAGGGGCCCATCGTCCGCAAAACAAAAATCACATTCCAAGTAACACTGGAACATAAAGCTGGTGAGTAGTGCAGCAACGGGACGAGCGGGACAGCAAACTCGGATTCTGTGAGATGCTATGGATTTCTGTCTTATCCGTAAACTCCGGAGCGAGGCTCAGTTACCTCATGTCGGAAAGGCAATCAGCGGATCAAAGCGCATGTCCTAGATCGATGGGCTCGTTAAGGTAAAAAAGCACACACACGCACCCACCCACCAAGTGTTTGGATATCCTACCACGTGGTGACATTACCCAGATCATGTTCCTGTTGTAGACCGTGGTCAGCCCCGATACATGCACATCACATCATCCGTTGTATCACTCCCGTTGGGAAGCTCCACAAACTTACCTTGAGGTATTCGCTGCCCTTCTCGAGGTACTCCTGCCGTGTAATGGACGACTTGCGGAGTTCCGAGCCCGACGCCCACTGAGCGGCACCCTTCCAGGCATCTAGGATGGGATCTGCCGCGCGGCGGACATTCAACACGCTACCAGCCGGTAGACGCGCCTGGAAATCGTGACGGAACCGCTCGTCGAAGTTCTGGAAGAGCGTATTGCCACCGGTGAAGAAAACATCACGCAGCAGCCGGGCCTGTTCCTCGGGGTTCGAGAAGCGCTGGTTGACAATATCGGCGGCGATCTCGACCAGTCCCGCCTGGTCGATGCCGGCGATGGATGGCTTGAAGACGACCTCGGGGACCCGGATCCGTTCCACGTTCAGATGGATCTGATGGGCCTCGCGCTGACTCTCTGGATCGAACGGCCAGGGACCCCGCAGGAACACGTGCACCAGGCTCTTGGTCCAGTCGGATTGCGCCGCCAGCGTGTGGTTCTCCGTGAATTCCGGATCGTACTCCAGAAGCTCCTTCTCAGCTGCGTCCAACAAGCCGCCGAGATCCTCTTCCTCTTCCTCGTCACTTTGGTCGCCGGTGGCCACGGTACGGTAGACACCCCAGTCTTCGTCGTTGGCGCCGAAGGTGTCGTCATCGCCGCCTCTCCGTCTCTTCTTGGGGCCGTCCGCGGCGAGGTTGGCTAGGGTCTTCATGCGCATTTGGCTGGCGAGCGACTTGCGATTGCCCAGGTCAGCCTTCATCCTGTCGCGTTCTTTGATTCGCTGCAGGAGGCTCTATAGGACTATGTCAGTGCCAAAGTGGAAATGTATGTAGGTAGATGAATTACCTGACGGTTAGCCCTTCGCTCAGCCAACCAACTATCGAAGTCATTCTCTCGCTTTTCGCGGTCAAGCCTTTCTTCCTCCTCCTGACGAGCCTTCTCTTGTTCCTTCTCGGCCTTGGCGCGTTGGCGAGCCTCTACGTTAGACTTCATCAGTCGCTGGTGGCGCTTCTCCTTGAGCCCGGCCTCATCGAGCTCCTCGTCAGGAACATCCAGCAGCGGGAATGACATTTCCTCCTGAGGTTCCTCCGTCTCCTCGATGCCCAGGTCACGATTCCGCGAGCGCTTGATCGACCGCTCGAGATCGCGGATCAAGCGGTCGAGGTGTGCATCGTCTTTCAGATCCTCAGCTTCTAAGATGCGTCGGGCCTCCTTCTTCGACTCGGACGCAAGCCCCCGCTGTAGATCCTTGTAATATTCCAGTTCTTGTTCCTTCTTCATCAACTTTTCCAGGCGCATCTTCGCAGCCTGCTCCTGCAACCTCCGCCCGCTCTCCTTCTTCCGCTCCGCAATGCGCGCCAGCTCCTCTTCCGTCTTTTCCGGAACAACATGCTCCGTGTACGGATATTGGATGATGTGGTCCCGATCCTCCAGCCCCGTCCAGTCCAGGTACCGGCTTAGTTCTTGATCGTAGTCCTTCGAGACATAGCAGTGCTTGTGCACCAGATCTTGCATCTGGTTGTCGGTCATGCGGGCCGGAAAAGTCGGGTATTTCAGCCGCATCAGCTTTAAGAGGTATTCCGACGCGTGCAGACCGCCCCAGTTCAAGCGCGAGCAGTTCGACAGCAGGGCCTTGTTGTTCAGCACGGGAATGACATGCGTGGATGTATGCGATGAGGAGACGATGAGGCCGTCCGTGCCACGATTATACCGGTAGGAGAACAGGGAGTCAATGCCATAGGCTACTGACGGCGCCGAATAGCATTCAAAAAGGATTTCGTTCATCACTGCAACCACATTAGCAAACACAATTTTCCTTTCCGTTTGACCACATCGCCCAAGAACGACAAGGCGGCCTTTAAACTTACTGCGTCGCGGATAATTCAGGTTCGCGATCGGCTCAGACATAACGATGGGTCGATCGACGCCTCCGTCGGCGCCCCCGTCCACCCCCAGCTTGATAAACAAGTAGTCCAGCACTCCCTCCATCACGTCCCAATTGCCCACCACGCTCGAGCCGGGATCGAACGCATACCGCAGCTGTCCGCGCGTCGTGGCGTCGACGTAGGCGTCGTTTCCGATGAATTGGCAGGCTTTGTTCAGTTTCCGGTCGCGATACCGACTCATTACGGGGGGAATGATGAAGCGGGGCTTTTTGTCGAAGGACCAGCCCGCTTTGACCAGGTTGGAGCCTAGATTGTAGATGAGATAGGGTTAGAGAGCGGAGTTCATGACAGAAGAAAAGGGTGGCCTTCACTCACCATTGTCGATAACGATGGCGCTGGTCCCGGTGCTCTTCGCATAGCCTTCAGGCTGGGGTGCATGGTACCCTTTGAACGGGTGATCTTGGACATTGTACGCCGTGGGAGGTGGCGGTTTTGCAGCCGTCTTTTCGGAGGAATTGACCGAGAATCGAGTGGGAAGGACGGTTGAGATTGAAGTGATAGCCATAATGGTCTTCTGGGGCCAACCGGGCCCGGTTCAATAGGACTAGCAGTTTAAGAGCTTCTGGCGAACACTAATTCATTGCAGTACACTTTATCGCGGGTTGCAATTTTGTATGAATAAAGGGTTGGTGAGGTAAGATGAGAGATGCCGAGTGCCCTCCCTCAAAATGGCTCTTGGAAGGGAGAACTGGAAGAAGTCTGGAGGCGGCGGCGGAAGTGGTGATAAACGGGATAGTCAAGAGCTGGGTTCGCTGCACCTTCCGGCCGCCGGCGCCGCATGATGCCAAGATCATGGAAATACACCTTTTATACAGAACAAGCAAGGGAAATTACCCGGGGTTTTAAATGGTTTACTCGATAGCACAAGTCTCAATTCACCAATAAAGGAAAAAAAAATATTTCATTAAAACAATTGAAACAGAATATCATATCGTCGTAAGTGCAATGGTGAACGCTGGCAGAAGCTCAGGATGGCTCCTTCAGGTTGTCCGTCGCTAGGAGAAGTTAGCAACGCTGAACCAGGCAGGCGCTGTTGCCGACTTGGAATCTACAATACCTTCCAGGTGGAAGAGCACATTGGACTGGTAGTTCTTAAACATCTGCGCTACCAGCTCGACGTTCATGTTCTGGATGTTGATTTCCTGTGATACGAAGGTCAACATCATCGACGACATGCCTAGAATGCGGAAAATACCTGGAGACTGCGATTCATGACCATGATTGATTCATTGAGTTTTTCCTGGGTCTAGTCAGTCGTGACCTCTGACTGATTGTAGGGAATAACACACGATGTTGCCGATGATGCGAGATAGCAGCAAGGCTTGCTGATGCTCGTGAGGACTTTCCTGCATGACTTTTAGTTCGTCTCTTCTAGTAGCCCACTTGTGATTTAATTCCGAGGGTGCTTACCATAGTGGCACACTGCAAGGTAGACGCTCTGAGATCGTTTGATAGTGATGTTTGTTTGTTGCTGCCCGTTTGCCAAAGAAACCAACCAGTATGTCACGTGACTGAAACTGGTCGTTGCGTATCTGAAAAAGGGACAGTAGATATGATGCTAAGAGTTGTTTCCAAAAGTGATAGACCTCAAAATAGAGATTCACACTGAATCTCTCTCCTGTGTAATTATTTCGGGTATTGAGGTGGTTGCCAGCGCCATCATACAACGACGGCCTGGGTCAATCCGCACATGCTTCCGGACCGCACTTCTAGACTCTCCCCCCTCAGAATCAACTCCGACATTCACGACCAAGCAACCTGCTTCTCAAACCACGACACCAACTTTGCATCATCAACAACTCGGAGCGCATTGAGACACGGTCCTCATCATGGCTCCCCTGACACCAGCAGACAGCGAGAAACATCAGCAACTCCTGGACCGTCTCGACATCGCGCACGTCCATCGCCCATTCCGCAACCCGCACTGGAAGCCCTCCCAACGGCGCAACAAGAATGTCAAACAGCTCATATCCGAGAGCTCGAGAAAAGAGGCCTCGGTGATGGCCACACAGACCAACTCTGGGGCATCGACGCCGCTCCCCGCCACCACCTCCGCCAGCACCGAAGGAAGCCAGACCCCTGCGGAGGGTGGCTCACGAACCAACATCGCGCAAGCTGCGCAGAACCTCTCCACGCTGGTCCTGGAAAAGAACGCTCGCGCGGCATTCTCCGGCCCTACTGTGACCTACACCAATATCGAGTCCGCTCCGTCCTTGAACCCTTCCCAACAGACCCGATACTGCGACATCACCGGCCTGCCGGCCCCGTACACGGACCCCAAGACGAGACTGAGATATCACGACAAGGAGGTTTTCGGCGTGGTACGGACGTTGGGACAGGGTGTTCCGGAGAGTTATCTGGAATTGAGGGCTGCACACGTTGTGCTAAAATGAGCTTATGATATCTGGGAGTCACTTTTTACCATGGGATTATATGGGGTAAGTTCCGTATAGTCTACGCAGACTGAAGAACAAATGAAGAGTGGGATCTGATGTTATGTTTCTAGCTAGGCGCTATGACTCTCTTCTGATTTTGAAATATAATAATGTACGACCAACACAGTCAAGCGATTCCACCCCCCTGCCCCTCTCGAGACAGGTTCAAGGAACTGCTCCGGCTTATTCGTGATCTTGTATTATGAGAAATACGATTTTGATCTTCGCCTCTGTGCTGGAAGAACCAGCACTCGACTAGTACCGACGATCCACCGGAGGGAACGTCAGTTACAGCATCACTGGGGATACTGTCGCCGCGGCGTATAGTTGTGCTCAGCCATAGGCTGGCACGAAGATAGCATACGTGAGGAGAAGGTCAGGAGAGGACCTAGTAGTTGCAAGCACGCGTCGTGCTTGCAGTGTCACTCCATGTCGAGTTGTTCAACAGTAGCACTAGGAATCCACGATTGAAGTGTCGTCTTGATGTAATCATCCAATTGTTCACCTCAGCATAAGAGGGATTGAACCGAATTGCTGACGTAGCCACCCGATAGGTAGTGTTGGGGTGTTGACCATTACACCATAACAAATCTCGAAAGGAGAGTCGGTACTGTCAATGAAGGAAAAGAAATATGGGAGCAAAATCGCGAGTTTTGTGTAAGTGCGGAAGCCAGTCGACCGCCATCCCAAGACGGACTAGTTCTCATCTCGCCAAGAAAGGAACGTGGCAGAATTGGGGAATATTGGGCGCCTATCATCAATGTTTATTCAACTCGTTGGGGAAAATCGGTTGATTGTGTTCTAGCGATTGAGACGAAGCAGCAGCGAGCTTCTACTCTATCCTTCGGATTAGTCTCACTCACCTCTACGAGCGCCCAGCTTTCGCTACCTCCCTGATCAACGTTTCCGCGCGCACGCGACATCTCCGTCGCTCATCGCGATCCTCTCCGCAGGCATCTGTTTGTCGATCTACTCAGCATCTCGAGTTTCGCATCGCGCATCCGATTCGAATCTTTTGTTGTCGAACTAGGACCACCATTCCCTCAGACACATCAAATCACATACAGATCCTGCATCAGTGAGATAAAAATGCCAACCATGTGGCTGTCCGACAATCAGAGTAAGCGCAACCAGCAAATCCGATCTACAACCCTCCCAGAGCCAGGCTCCATGAAGCAGAAATTAAGGCTAACCTAGCATCTTCCAACCAACAGAGATAGGAGTCATCTTCTGCTCCGCCGGTACGTCCACGAACTCACATACAAGACCAGTCTCACCCGACCAAGACCAGACCGATTGACCCAATTCAACAGGAGCACTATTCCTCTTCGGCGGAGTCCTAATGTTCTTCGATCGCTCACTGTACGTCCCAACACCGACCCTGCTTTCCCAAATCACAACGTATCACCACAAAAGCTAACCTCCAAACCTCACAGACTCGCCATGGGCAACGTACGTTCCGCTCATCCTTTCGCTCCCCCATCCCCCTTTCGCCCCCGCAAACCCTCTCCTCCTACGAAACCCACCCCCACAAAACCCCGAACTAACCACTCAGACAAAAACAGATCCTCTTCCTCATCGGCCTCACCCTAATCATCGGTGTCGAAAAGACCTTCGCCTTCTTCTCCCGCCGCCAGAAACTTAAGGGCACCGCCGCCTTCGTCGCCGGCATCCTGCTCATCCTCCTCCGCTGGCCGCTCACGGGCTTCATCATCGAGCTGTACGGGCTGTTTATTCTCTTCGGCGACTTCCTGGTGACCATCGGCCAGTTCGCGGGGAACATCCCCGTCGTGGGGCCGTACATCAAGACGGCGTTGGAGGCGCTGGCCGGCGGCCGGCGGAACGCCGAGTTGCCGGTATAAAGCATACTCTCTTTTCGCTCTCTTGGCCTTTTCGTGATAGGCCCATGAAGCGAGACTTCCACCGTCGTCACAAAGCCTAATCAATAGGTGTTAAGCGACTTTTGCGCGGATGTGTTCTGCGTCAACCCTGTTTATGCATGCACTGATGCGAACAAAATCCTCCTCTACTACAGTATGAGAGGCGTGATATAATGTTAACGTGTAAAACGAAACGACAACACAAGACTTACCTTCTTACCGTTCTTACGACTTTTATCTATATGATGCGCATGGAATACGAAATGTGGAATATACTGGGTTCATGTACTTTGTCTTGCGGTGTGAAGAAAGATAAGGTATTTGTACTTTGGTTGCGGAAGAGGAAGGAAAGTCATTCTTCCGTGGGGTGCATATGTGGCCTTGGCTGGAGTGGATTAGATGTTGTAATTGTTAATATTTTCTCTTTGGGCTGTTTCTTTTTCACCCGTTGCAGACCGGTTGTTGGATACATAGACATTCGTTTTCATGTCAAGTAGTGATTACATATACAGGATCACAGTGGACTAATAAATGTTGCAAGAGCTCTGACAAGTACATCATCCATCCGTCTAGACAAGAGCCGAGATCATCTCAGGAGAATAAAAAGTTGGCACATATTGCACATATCTACGCGTTGTGGCTGATATCATATAACAACAGGAGAAAAAAAAAAAAAAAGGAGAAAAATTAAGAACAGACAAATCGAGAAGGAGACCACCGTGTTCTACATTCAGAGTATTACCACTGCTCCCCCTGGACTCGTCACCCTCCCAACGATAGACTTTTCGATTAGGTGTATACACCGGCCCATCTACCGGGGGTTGTTGATGTAGTCAGCGAGGTTCTCGACGACGGTGGCGGCGTTGGTGGTCTGGACGGCCTCGCCGTGGTGGGCGACGAAAACGCAGGAGTTGGCCTTGACGATGACGATACCCTCCTTGCCCTGTAACGAGTGGGTTTGATTGTGATTAGTTCAGCTTGTCAGGATAAGGGCGGATATGACGATCCAACGCCGAAGGACTAGGAGTATTGGAAATGACCACGGGAAGGGGTAACCGTACCTTCTTGCCGTACACGCTGCGCTCGTCGGCCTTGATGGTAACGAACTTCTCTCCTCCGACGATGATACCGTTGGCAAAGGCGCTGCTGGGGTTCTTGAAGATGGCGGCGACACCGGTCAGCTCCTGCGGAGCGATCTGTACGACGGGGTCAACTCTGAGTTCCGTACGGAGAAGAGGGAAGGGGACGGGAATTATGGCCGGATGGTTGACTGCGCGCCGACCCGATGACGGGGGAATCATACCGTGAAGCCGGGGGACGAAGCCTCAACATCGGAGAAGTCATAGGCAAGGATGGCAGCCTTGTCAAATTGGCCGGATCCCATTAAGCTGGAAGGCGATGGTGGTTAGGATACATGCTGAGCTGGAGTGATATAGAGATGCATTGGAAGCGGGGTAGGGGCGGGATGGTGTATATACCTGGAATCGACATAGCCTGATCAAAACAAGAGTAAATTAGTTATCGAATACAGAAATGATAGTAGACAACAAGACAGACGGAGACTCCTGATGGGAGGAAGTAACGGTAAGCATACCTTGCCAGATAGCGGAGTGCTGACCCATGGTGACGGTGGTGATGGAAGTGGTGGGATAAACAAACGACGGAGATGGTCGGAGAGAAGAACGGAAAGGAGGAAAGGAGGAAAGTTCCCACAAGGCAGAAAGAGTAGGGGGGGGTAGAAGGCGGTCGTCCAAGGAAAAAAGTCGGACCAGGAAAGATGATAAGTTGAATACTATGTAGTTTGATGGACAGAAGGAGAGGTTGAGGAAAAGGAGGGGAAAGGAGATGAAGAGGGGGGGGGAGGCTTTAGTCAGAAAGAAGATGATGAGGTGAGGTGGGGGTTTCTGTTGGTCGCTGGCGCGCTTTCTCTCTCTTTTCCACTTCTCTTGCTCTCTTGCTCTCAATGCGCCCCGCCAAGCTCCATCAGACTAAAATGAGACTGATTGACTGATTGACTGCTTCAATCATTCGGGTTCTATATAGTTTCCTATAGGGTTTGTTCTACTACTCACTAGTTCCTACTGCTCAGCTCAATCTTTCTACTCCATTCAACATCTCAATAGTGCGAACCCTGATTGTCCCCTCATGCTCCCCTCTACGTCATTCCTCTCTTGCACCCGCGCCTGACCCGTGGTTTGGAGCTGTCTGTCTTGTCTATCTGTTTAGGCTTCCTGCGTGAGAGTCAACAGACTAGAGTGCAAAACAACGATGAGAGCCTTGGGGCGGTGGAGGGGCCAACACCAGGTCTCCATAATCTGAGGCAATTCGGAATAGCCTCCCTGCCATTGCGAATGCTAGACCCTGTTCAGTCCCACCGATGCTCTTACCGCCTCTTCTGTCTCTGCTCAAGATGTTGAAGAACTGAGACTTTTCCCTTTAGCGCAGGCTTGCAAATGAGCAGTGGCGAAATGCATGAGACCAGGTCGTGTGTTGAACATCAACTGCACGCTTCACGATGCACGCTGCAGCCTTCCGGCGTCTCTCCTCTTCTTGATTTCCGACCGCATTCGCTCCCGTTGACGGAGCCTCACAGATGATCGACTTAAGTCATGGGACCGGGCCACGTCAGATCAAGAGACCAGGGAAATTAGCCCTCGGGACAACCATTTGTTGGTCAGGCAGTCAGTCAGTCGCTTTGACAGCTGCAGACCTGCATTTGACATTCTTGTCGTACGTACTTATAGTCTTCATACCCACCGGTGCGCAGGAGCGAACGGCACGTGCGAGAGAGCACGGAATGAGTCTGAAACAGTCCCCTTTCGCTTGTAGCGCCCACGCGAGAATCTGTGACAAAACCCCCCCTTTACTGCAAGTACTCATGTATCAGCATCTTAGATCTCCATGATGAGAACAATGTTATTGGCTCCGAGAACTCAATCATGTCAGGACGATGTCCAACTGCGAACTCAACCCTGCGTCTGCCAAGCGTGTTCTTTCGATCCCTCTCGCCCATGGGATGAAGCCGTAATCAAAAGCTCAATCAATCAGATCCCGCGATAAGCATCTTCCGTGGCGCTTCGCAGATGCCACACATTTTCCGCCCGCGTAGCTCCTGTAACGCCTCCTAGACAATTTACTTCCAGCGCTCTCGTTGGTTCCTGAGTTCTGGCGCTTCGTCAGATCTTACTCAGTCCAAATCCCACTGATCATGGATCCAACAGAACAGTCTGACACTAACCAGCCCCTGCCGCTTGTTTCATTTAGGTGTTGCGCCGTCGGCCTCAGGCTCCACCCTGACAACGGCTTTGTCTGGCGCTTCTTTCTTTCCCTCAATTTACTGCTTCTCCTCCATCCCTCCTTTTCTCCCGACCATGACTGAATCTTCAGCTTCGTGACGGTTTAGTGGTATTGTTTCGGGCCTTCTGGAAGGCCGTCCATTCCTTTTTACATGCAAGCCTTCATGACTGGTTCTTGAAGTTCTCTTCTCCGACATTCTTTAACCTGTCATTCTTTTGCCGGTTTATATTACCACCTCCACTCTTTTATCTCTGCTTGACCTCACGGGCACTCACGGACCCTTCCTTTCTCATAACTAAGCAGCATATCCTTACTTTCTGGGGAAATCATCACAACCGGAACATTCACCATGGCTCTAGGTACATTTCGTGGAAGGTCGCGTACATTGCGCCAGCCAGAGGCTAGCTCATCGCCCGCTCAAAAGCACACAGACGCGCGGCCGCGCAAGAACTCCGGACATCACGAACCAAGCGCAAACTTGCCTCAGGACTCTGCGCGCCCAAAGACGGCAGAGCAGCAGCAGCAAAGGCATGTGCAGGATGCCAATCCTGGTTTTGATTTCCAGATCCCAAAAACCCCATCGAATGCCATGACTTCGCCAACGAGCCCGATCATCTCACCATCAGACGGCTTGATTGGTGTCGCACTAGGAAGCCCCCGCATGGTCGAGGTGCCAATCGCAATGTCGCAAGAGCAACAGTTCGGGAGGCCTCCGGAGGCCCCGGTGCGACCATCACTACAGCGCAAACCAAGCAAATGGAAGAAAATCGGAGGACTATTCAAAGCAAAGAGTGTATTGAGTGCACCTGTTCCTAGCCAACCCTTCTATCATGTTCAACCGACTACGGAGTGGCCAATGCCGGCTTCTGCAGTCTCCATTAACCGGCGCCAACCGATGCTCGAGGAGAGCCCCAAACTTGACGAGAAGCCAAAACTCGAAGAGGAGCCCAAGCCCAAACCCGAGGAAAGCCATAGGAACATGGCCGACCCCAGGCCTGATGTTCAACCCAGCCCCATCGAAGCCTGGCCATCCCTGGAACTGGAACCAACGCAGGAACCCACGGCCCTGAAGCACGAACAGCCGGAGAAGACTGCCATCCAGGAATCATCTCAAACCGTTAATACATCCTCGAACTACATGCCCCTGCTTCAGATTGATATTCCTGATATCCAACTGGAACGGTACAGTGTGATGTTTGGGGGGGTTCTGCAGAAGAACAGACCCCCGTCCTTGAACCGACGGAGCAAGACGTTGAATGATGCGGACACAGAAGAGGCGAAGGTAAGTTGTCCATGTCTGCTAAATGTGATTCGTCTAACAACCTGTTTCAGCAACCGTCGCCTCCGTCACCGGAAATTGTTCCTCCTTGTCGAAGGGCGACCTCACCAACGCGTTCACGGTCTAATTCTCCGAACTTCACACTGTTTCCCGCCACCCAAGTCAGCAAGGCTTCGAAGGTTCTCGGATCGCAAAACATACCGCGCGGCCCTAGCCCATTACACAAGACTCAGACATCATTAGCCGAGTCTCACCAAGAGGATGCGCCAAAAGATAAGAACCATCTCGTTCTCATGGTTCACAGTTCCCCGTCCTCGCACAAGCAACAGAGCTCCGTGTCGTCGTTCCTATCAGCAACATCTATCAGCTCCGAGGACGAAAGACTCCTCCTGCAGAAACTTAAGCCGGTGCGCAGCTACGTCGATGAGCGAGAGCCTGAATGGGAGATCATCAACAAGAAGTCCCCAACCACCAGCGAGCCTATGCCACCTATTCCTCCTGCCATCCCGCGGCCGAAGGCTCCTGCCACCCTAACGATCAACACGCAAGTGCCACCCATCAGGACTTCTGGTGATTCCCGAAGCGACGTCTCATCGCCCTTCTCTTTCGTCTCATCAGCCAAGTCGCCCAACACGCCGCGTAGCAGAACCCATCTTCCAGCGCGGTCTCCCACAGTCAGTCAGGCCAGCACCACCACCAGCGCCACCACTACCCCAATCGCCGCCCGCCGATTCCCACTCGGCGACGAGAGGAAGAACGCCAGCACATCAGACCTGAACAAGCCTCTCCCCACCGTGGAGATCTCCATTGCTCGATCTGTCTCCGTCTCCAGAGGCAAGGAGATCTCCATCGCTCGATCCGTCTCCGTCTCCAGGGGCAAGAAGCAAGTGATCGTCCCCATCCGGCCCCGGCTAGACCGCGCCAACACCACCGCCACGGATCGGGTCGTGGAAACCAGGATCGCTCGTCCGCCGCCTCGCCTTCGAGATGGTGGGGGCCTCAGCCCTGGGCCTGGAAGTACGCGAACCGTCCGTGTCGGCAACTTCATTTGACATTGCCCTTTCCCACTCGAGCTTTTACTCTAGTAGTCCATTCTTACGATCCTATGTCACACTCTTGGTTCATCTTCCAGTTGGCTCGATGACTTTTCTCTATCTCTTTTTTCTTTCTTAGCCGGCCTTCCTTTACAAGCGCAGGTAGCATATACCTCTATGCTTTGATAGCTTACTTCCATCCATTCCACGTGACATATCCCATTTCTTACTGTGTCAGATCGACATCTGCCCTTTTCAGTCATGCTGGGCTCGACAGTCCCCATCTTCATGTATCTTTTTTTATCCTTCTATTTTCATGTTTGTTGCCAAAATACCCCGCTCGGTATCCAGTCCAAGGCACGATCCGAGACCCTAGCCTTCTCAAATTAGATTTGATTTACAATTCCGAAATCTATTGCGCTGATGTTTCACGAGCACAAAGCCAAGAACCACCTCCAAATTCCGGCAAAACAACACCTGAAACTCTAGTCAAATTCGTTATTCTTTTCCAAGGCATCTACTGTATCACCAACCAACTTTTCCAAAATTGAGATACAGAGGAAAACCTCCTGTAGATCTAAGAGTATGTACAGAAAACGAAAAAAACTAAGGGATTATCTCTTGGCCCTTCTCAGGGATAGTGGATTCCGGCACGCTCTGCGTTTCAGCTCCCGTGGCGGCACCGGTCGGAACCTCCACCTGGGTCACTGTCCACTCCATGCCCGGGTACGAATCACTGATCACGCGCACGTTGACCTGCTTGGTACTCGGCGCCGCGGGGTTTTCGGAGAACTTAACCGAGGATCGGACTGTAAGTTGCTGCTGCTGCTGCCGCTCATTGGGTTTTCTGGCGATGCTGCCGCTGCCGCTGCTACTGTTAGAAGAGGGGCCAGCAGCGCCACGGCCACTGTTGTTTTTGTGATCATTCCTCTTTCCCCGCGGACCGGTTTGCCATGAAACACGTTTCAGGGCCAGCAGCTCCCCGTCCTGGCCATCGGGCTTTGCGCTGTAGATGAGCAGGAAGTACCCCTCAGTTTGGGGCTTGGGGAAGCGCGGGGCGTAGACCCGGCAGTCGCGGTCCATGGGGGCGTTTTTGCGGGCGATGGAGACGGTGATCCCGCGGGGCGTGATGGTGGCGATGGAGACGGCGAGGTTGGGGAGGTAGGCTGCGGCCTTGGCGAACTGGGCTTGCGACGCGGAGAGGCTGAGCTTGCGCGCCAGCGAGGAGATGGCGCCGGTGGGGAGGGCGGCGAGAGCGGCGAGTGTGGCCGGAAGGACGCTGCTGTTGTTCTTGGCGCCCTTGGAGTCGGTGGTATTGCTGATATCGACGCCGGGCAAGATCGACAAGGCCGAGTCCTCGGGCCAGCGGGCGGATTTGATGCCCTGGAGAAGGCTGATGAACATCTGGCAAGCGTGCGGGTAGCCCAGTTCGGCCATGACATCGATCGAGGCCTGGATGATACGGATGCCCTGGTCGAGGACGGAGGTCTGATCACCGACATAATCGGAGATTGGGAGGTCGATGCGCGACATATACGCCTGCAAGAGGAGGAAGGCTTTCACGTGCGGGTCCCAAAGGGGCAGGTCGCCCATCGAGTCGACGGAGAGGGGTAGGTGGTTCGCCAGTTCGGCGTTGATCAGGTCCTCGTTGTGCCGGACGGGCAGCTCGTCGAATTCGCTGGCGGAGCACATCCAACTCAGGACATCGTGGAAGGTGGGGTTGGGTTTGGCATGCGACATTAAGTAGCGGATAGTCTTGTGCGAGAGATAGTAGTAACTCATGATCTTGCCAAAGGGAGTAGGGTCAACATCGCCAGTGGCCGAGTCGAAGGCGACGCAGGATGATTCGGCAAGCTCGCTGAGGGACTGATCGACCAGGTCTATCATAAATTCCTGCGCTATAGCTTGAGCAGCCATGGTGTTGTGTTCCTCGGCCGAGATCTCGAGCCCGTAGTACGATGGGTTCTTGTGAAGACGCCGGAAGAAGAACGTCCAGGTCAGGTAATCCAGAGCGTCCTGTTTCGTGGTGATGGTTCCCGCAGACACTTCAGCACCCAAATGGTTGTCGAGGACCTTATGTAGAGTCGACTCAACAGGGAATCCGGTATGCAGGAAGTGCTTGTAAAAGGCTTTCTTTGCGTCCTGTGTGAAGATGCGGGCAATGCCAGATGTGTCGAACTGCGGACGTCCTGCACGACCCAGCATTTGCAATACATCCGTCAGGTCCATGTCCCTGTAGCCTTCGATCTTGGCATCGAAAAACTGGGTACCCTTTACGACGACAAGATGCGCAGGCAAGTTGACACCCCATGCGAGCGTACTTGTCGCCACCAGAATCTGGATCTTGTTGTTTGCGAAAAGCTCCTCGGCTAGTTGTCTGTCAGATTCAACCAGACCAGCATGGTGCAGACCGATTCCGAAGCTAAGTGCCTCTCGTAAAGCGTCATCCTTGACCCGAGTAAGGTTCAATTGCAGATCCTCTTCCGACATACGGACAAATCGTCGAGGATTATCTTCCATGCCACAGTAGTTGATCAGATCCTTGGCAGTGAGGCGAGTCTGTCGGCGGGAAGCAACAAATACGATAACCGGTTTGTCAGGAGAGTGATTCTTGATGGCCAAAAATGTCGGCCTGTTCATCGACTGCATGAGAGGGCAGAAGCCACGCTGCTCAGGGAATCCATCGATGTAAATCTCAAGAGGCACAGGGCGCACCGAGTGGCGGAAATTATAAAGACCTTCCTTGACGCCTAGCCAATTCGCGAGATCGCTAGCGTTTGCACAAGCAGTGGACATACCCATCAACCGCACAGAGCCCTTGGATTGAGAAGCAATGTAGTTCATTCGAGACACGATTATTTCGAGAATAGGTCCTCGATCACCGCCAAGCAAGTGGATCTCGTCGATGATCACCAAGCTCACCTTACGCACGTAGTCTCTGGTCTGCCAACTACGCGAGATACCGTCCCATTTCTCGGGAGTTGTAATGATGATATCCGCGTCTCGGATTGTCCGAGTATCAGGAGTGTTATCTCCGGTCAACTCTACCAGCTTGAGACCCATAGGGCCTGTGAGACGCTTCTTCCAGTCCTGAACTCGCTCACGCACAAGCGCTTTCATGGGCGCGATGTACACGACCTTGGAGCCGGGCTTCTCTCTGAAAGCCCACCACATAGCCAGCTCTGCGGCCACCGTCTTTCCACTACCTGTCGGTGAACCTAACAGAACATTGGCTGGGGTGTGATACAAGAGATGAAAGATTTGGGTTTGCATAGGGTTAAAAAACTGGAAGCGGTGTCCGTAGAGCTCTTCCAAAATTGGGTTCTTCAAGGCAGAGATAGGCAATGGTTGAAGGTTAAGTAGATCGGTGTACACACTCTCCGTATCGGGACGAATGAGATGCTGGAACGACACCGGGGTGACCGTCTCAGCACCCAGCCATCGATCCGAGATCGCGCGGACATAGATCTGGCTAGGCAACGGATCGGACAGTGGGATTGTGAAGTTCAACTCATGCTCATCATGCAACTTCTTTCGGCTCAGAATGAAGTACTCATGGTGGTAAATCTCGGATGTTTCCGAGTTCTCCACCCAGATCCAGTAAGATTCCGAGGCTCCATGGTGTCTGTCATTCCAGCTGAATTCTGGGTAGAGCAAAAGACGAATCCGCAAGACATCACGATTCAGCGGTGCAATCTCAGCTTCGACGCTTAGCGTAGGGAAGTTGTCCAGTAACTTTGCAAGCGTTCTACCCATCTTATGATTGTGAACCAGCTGTCCGATTTCGGCCGTTTCCATATCTCTTAAAGATTCAATAGCCGACGTTGGAAGCTTTTCGTCCAAGTTTCTAAGAATCGGTTGAGGAAGGTCAAATTGATGGAACGGATGGTCAAAAGGCCACATTTGTTTTTCGATCGATTTGCACATCGACAGAAGCACTTGACATTGGTAGCCCCAGCGTCTGTTCAGGGCTATCATGAACAGAGCACGACAGATACGAGCAGCATTTTGCGCCACATAGCCGGTATCAGAAACCAAGGCGAAATCCTCGATTCTAGCGCGGGAGATGTACGACTGGAGCAGAATGTTGGTCTTTGCATGAGGCGAGTCGTTTCCGCCCTCTACTTCTGTCTGGATAGCCTCGTCTCGTAGCCTGTTGAGTTCCTTCGACTCGCTCTCGCGCGCTTGTATGTTATCGAACTCACCGCTCATGCTAATCATGCTTAGCACATCAGCTTCAGTGGCACGTGGCCGCATCATGTTGTTGAATATCTCAATACTTGTCTGTAGGACATAGTACTGGCTTGCTATGCGGCCCACGTCCTTAGCTTTGAGGTCCTCCGTCTTTTCGTTGTATATAATCATTTGGCTCTTTTGAAGAACAAGTGCCGCTTGTATGATTAGCTGACGACGTCTCTGGACCAGCATCGGATCGTCGCGGATCTCAGCCCAGTCAATGCCGTAATTCCGGGGCTCGCGCAACATGCGAACAAACAGATACGAGTATCCCAGCCATTGCACAGCTTCTGCGACTGACGTGACCGTGCCCAGTGAGATTTCCGCATTCAGATTGTCCACGAGACGACTCGAGAACCTGGATTCGATCGGCTGCTGCGACGTTACTGCGGAGATGTAGTGGTTCAATTTATCGTGGGTGGTACAGATGAACCCAATACCAGTGTCCTGGAACTGGGGACGACCAGCACGACCAAAGATCTGCAATACGTCGAGGATGCCCAGGTCGACAAATTTACCCTCCTGTGGATTGTAGAGCTGGGTACCCTTGATGACCACTGCCGCGGCGGGAAGGTTGACACCCCACGCGAGTGTCGCAGTACAACAAAGCACCCTGATTAGTCCTTCGGAGAATAGACGCTCCATCAGGTTACGGTCACTTCGACTCATTCCTGCATGATGGGTCCCAAGCCCACCCGCGAACAATTCACGCAGCTCGCGAGCACGACTGCGTTTCACATCCGCCAAGCCGTTGGAGTATCCTTCTTCTTCTTGACAGCTGAAGAGGCCTTCACAACCCTCTTCGCTGGCCATCTGACGAAGCATCCGAGCAGTTAGGACAGTATCCTTTCGTGAGTGAACAAACACCATGACCTGATGTCCTCTCTCAAGCATATTGCGGACCTTCTCAAAGGCTACGACATCGATGTTCTCGCGCGACTGCTTAGAGCCAGGCTTCCCTTTGACACCAATGAAGTGCTGCTCTAGTGGTACAGGGCGGAAGGATCCATCGAAGTAAAACAGACCAGCCATTTTGTTGACTTTGAGGAAGTCTGCAACATCGATATAGTTGGGCAGCGTAGCGGACAGACCGACAATTCGAATGAGAGACTGTGTGCTTTCCACTTGACGCTGGGTACGTGCTACTAAGGACTCGATGACGGCACCACGCTCATCATGAAGCATGTGAACCTCGTCGATAATAAGCAGGCGCACCTTCTGTACAAGTTCCGTGTCGCCCGTACTCTTTCGGGTGACTACATCCCATTTCTCAGGGGT